AAATGGGGTGTCCTCTCAGACAGGAGAAATGTCAGTGTGTGCCACATATTTCTCATGGTAGAAGTGCCAAATTTTTTGTCATCTCAAAGATGGGGCTTTGAGACAAGCTGGCAAAGGTTGGATCCCATAAATACCTGAACTGCTTTGAAAATCTCAGCTTCTCGTGTCATTAGAAATTCATAACCTCAATGAGCAATGCATGGAACAGCTAATTGAGCTCTATAAATTGCTGTTTCCACGTTTTCATTTTTATTATTTCTCCCAGAGTTAGAATTGAAAGTTATCTAGCTGCTTAGAGACTACTTTAGTGTTATTCAATAAACATTATTTTTTAAATTGTGACAGTGACAGGTGTGTTGCGTTGCATGGGCAAAAATGTATGGACGAAAATAAAAAAAGAAGAAAATTAATTGATAGTTACCAGCATGCTCACAAACATGCCTGACTGAATTTTTGAACTTATTTAGACAGGTGTTGATTTTGCTTTATTGTGGGTTTTTTTTCCTAGTAATAAAAATTTGTTTCCTCAAAATTGGGCCGGTTGGATGTTGGGCAGTTCTCACCAGATACAAATGCATGCTTTTTAATTGATAAGAAAGCAAAATGTGAGATACTCTGTTCAAGTCCACTTTTAATGTTTGTGCATTAAACACACTTGTTCTCCAGGTGATCCTCCCCTCCTGTGCTTGTACTTACTGGTGCTTTCAAGTGAGATTTAAGTAGATCCAAATGTTCTTTGTTTTTATGGAAAAGGGGAAACCACCCTAAAAGAGAATTAATTGTCAGTGGTCCCACAAGTGTGAGCTGACCCCTGTGGCAGGTTTTTGTTGCTCTGACTCCGAGCTGGGGACAAGTGTCTGGTCAGCTGAGGCAGCAGGGACATGACTAGATCAGGTTCAGCGAGTGGATAAATGTGTCTGCAGCTGAAATAAACCCCACAATAGAGTTCGGTGCCTCTGCCACAGCCCAGCCTTGCTGATGGATGTTAAGAAGCCTTGGTAGTGTTTATAAGAAACATCAGCTTCCCTAATCGTTCATTGATCTGTTTTTCTGGGCGGAATGATGAAGCTTTCGCTGTTATTTTGCTCTGCTTCACTCAGATTCACTTGATTCGAACCAAAGGACGATTTAAGATGCCAGGGCACAATTTTACTCTCATTTACTCCCAGCTGACAGGATAATTCTGGTTTTGCTGTTGGGAGCTTCAAGTGCTTCATCTGTGCTCAGCTAATATTAGTTGTAATTAAGGGAATGGGCTGTCTAGAGCTCATTTTTACAGTTCATCACCTGAAAAAGAACCTCCAGAAAGAACTCTTTTGCTTTTGGTGTCATTTTGAGTTTCTTCCTCACCCTCTGCAGGGCTGCCCATCTTGGCGTGCACCCCTGGGGAGGGGCAGCATCTTCACTGGCTCTGTTCTTATCACAGGGTAGCTTTTTTATGTTTAAAAACCAAAAAATTGGCTATGTTGGGGCTTGTAGAGTGTGTTAGGAAATAGGTTAATAGAATGACATGGCTATTCCTGGGGTGCAGGACAGTGCTGGACAGCAAACTGTGGAGTACAAGTGCTCATCTCCTGTCTGAAAATGGAGATAAAGGGCTTTTTTCCTGGTTTAAATATCAGTACCCTGTGTTTGGTGTGTTTTTTAAGCAGCTCATGAGGCATTAGATATATCAAGGATTGATATTTTTTCCCCCTGGCACTCCTTTTCTTTCTGCTGGAAGCTTGTCCTTACCCAGGGGCTGATGCTCGACAGGCTCAGTTTCCTTTTTGTCTTTCCTGAGGGACAGACTGATGGGAAATGTGTTTTTGCAAGTGCCTGCAAGCCCTAGCAGGAAAATCAGCCTGAGAGATGGCACTCACTGTTGTGAGCCACTCCACCTTCTTGGAACACAGATGGAAGCTGGAGCAGAGCAGCTCAACCAGAGCATCAGGATACCTGAGTCCAGGTTACCTGAGTCCAGGATACCTGAGTCCAGGATACCTGAGTCCAGGATACCTGCCCAGGAAAGTGTCCAGCCTGGAATTGAAGGGATGAGAGGTCCCAGTCATGCCTGACCTTGGCCCGAGGTGCAGGGGAGGAGATGTGGCTGCTGGTCCCACCTGGCAGGAGGATTTGTGTGTCAGTGTGGAAGCCAACAGGCATCTTTGCAGTGACTCCAGCAGGGCTGGGAGTGAGCTCCAAGTGGGCACGTGTCCATTTGCAGCCAGAGTCAAATTAAAACTTGCAGTGCCTGGCAAAGTGACAGTGTTGGCCGGGAGTGGCCAAAACTTGAGATGTCTTCTGCATTCCCAGTGCATTTTTTTTTCAATATGGACCGGTCAGAAAACACCCTGCAAACCTGAAACCAGTCAGAAGCCATCCTTCAAAGCAGGTTATTGTTCTGCATTTTTCATTCCTATTTCAATTTAAACCCAAAATGAAGCCCTGTCCTAATATAAAAGACTACTAGATTTCGTTGGTCAGGTGGTTGTTTCCTAGGAAATGAGAAACTCTTTTGGGTTTATTTTCATAATTTTGTTTTGCAAGCATGAACATGGTAGTGTCTCCAGCAAATAAATGTGTATTGCAATATGGTGGAAGCCATGGGACTGCAAAGAACCTTCTGGTTGGTCAATCAAAATACTTGCCATAATTTGTCATTTCAGTTGGTTAAGCCAAACAAAGTGCAGGGCTTCTGAGGCAGTTCACAATTATCAACAACAGAACTTTGTCATTTTCTCTGGTGGACTATTGTTTTGTTTTGGACTTTTTTTTGGCTGTTTTTTTTTCTCCCAAGTTTTGAATGAAGATTTGCTGCTCTCTGTGTGTGTGGGGTATTTCAGTTCTGTGCTGAATTGCAGCCCTTCCAGGTGGAATTGCTGTTTGGCAGTAAGACATACCCTAAAAATAGAAAATGTGGTTATAAGTGACAACAATTGGCAGGGAGGACCTGTTCAGATGCAATTTTGGAACTGCTTTTAATTTTTTCCACTCAATTCCAAGTTAAACATCCATTTAAATTAATTAGAGCAATTACAGTATCCCTAGAATATCAGTGGAGAAACTGAAGCCATGAGTGTAATTTAAGTATTTCCTGAATTCTGAGGAGCTGCTAAAAAAGCCAGCTTAAAGAAATTTTTGCATATGATGAAAAGCAAATCCCTGACCGAACTGGCTAAGCTCAAATATCTGAAGGCAAAGAGCTATCATGAAAGTGCTCTAAAGCTTCTGATTATAATGGAATCAGTGTCCCAGGGTGGGATGCAGCTCTACATTTAATACTTAGCTGCTGAACCATGCTTCTCCACTACCTCCACTCCCTGGGTTCTCATCTGAGTCCTGTCAGGACTTGGTTTAGGACTTGGCCTTGGTTTAGGTGCCAAGCAAGTCTGGAAATGGCTCCACAGCTTTTTCAGCAGCTTCAGCTGAGTACAAATGCTTGACTTCAGAAGGACAGCTAGATTTTGTGGCCTAGAAATCATTCCTTATGAACACTGCCACATGTATTAATAACCTTGCAGGCTTTTATAAGCCTAATTAAAAGGCTTGTGCACACTTAAATGTGAAATCATGGCAAAGTGCTGAAGCAGCAAAGCAAGATCCTGTCCTTGGTGCTGCAAATCCATTGCTGCCTCTCTTTATTAATGATACACACACGACACATTGAATTCTCTGCCTGCTGTTACTTGTCGGGTTGTTTTTATTACAGTATCGACTGGAGTCCCCATCATGTTGGTTGTAGTCTGGGCACGTTACCCTGAGCAGAATTTTTCTTTCAGTGTTTTGTTTAAGGTATTGACTTTGCCAAAGGGAAGGGAGAAGTGCGTGCAGCCACTTAAGCACACAAGTAGTGGTATCAATTTCTGGCTGTTAAAATATGCACACACACACAAACACAGCACTGTGCAGTGGCTACAGGCACAGGGTTAGGTGAGAAACAGACTCAGGAGATTCTCTCCAACACGGATATTCTGTTTCCAGGAGCATCCATCCTGCACCAAGACCTGCTGAGAATGGTGGGGTCATTGTGAGTGTTGAAATGACATTTTTCAAAGGCATTTGCACATTTCTAGGACATTTCTTTCAATTCCTTAGAATGAACTTTATTTTCTAAAGGAGCATATTTCTCTGGTTTTGGGCATTCTGTTGTTGGTTTTTTTTCCCTAACAACATCTTAGTTCTGTTAATACTTTGGACTTCAAAAGAGTTTTTCTAGTTACTGGGTTTTGGGGTGTTTTTTCCCTTTCCAGCCCAGGCAGTCAATTCCTGAATATGAGCAGGAGGGTTCTTGAGCAGTTCATCTAAAGCCAATGAAGATTTTGGCCAACTCAAAGGTGCAGCAAACATTTTGCTAAAGGTTTGGGTGGCACTTTTGATTGAAGACAGGGATATATGGGCGTGGATGGTTCCAGCACTGCCAGATGAAACTTGGAGACAAATCTTTGCAAATGTTCAGTGATCAGTTCCGTTTGAAAGTACACAAAGAGGGTATTAATATATATCTGTGTTATCTTTATTTCCCCTTCCAAAGTGGCCCCCCCTGTCTCCCACCCGTTCCTCTTTGATGGTGAGCTCTTCCAGAGGTGTTTTCCATGTAATGACCCTTCAGTCCCACCCTGAAATACACTGTACAACACACAGTAACTTGCAGACACTCATCTCATCTGAACTGTGGCATTGCCCCAGTGGATTCTGTTCATGTACTGCAGAGGCCCCTGACCTGCTCTCTGCTTTGAGCTGGGCAAAGTCATCCTTTTGTGAATCCTTAATACCTTACAGTGAATTTCTGATAAAAACGGCTACCTCTTTATTTTCTCTCTTTTTAACAGCTATTCCCAGTAAACTCACTAAAATTAAAACAGGGATGTGCTTGAAATCATTAAGTTGGAACAGAATTTGTTTTCTGGGTGGGTTTTTTTTTGTTTTTTTTTTTGTCTTGTGTAGCAGCATCTTGTCCTGAAGCTTCCACTGTGTGGTGAATTCATGGCTGATGTGTTTGTTTCATTCCTGCCTTGCAGTCTATCCGAGAAGTCACAGGCTACGTGTTGGTGGCTTTGAACCAGTTTGAATACCTGCCCCTGGAGAACCTGCGCATCGTCCGCGGGACCAAGCTCTACGAGGAGCGATACGCTCTGGCCATATTCCTTAACTACAGGAAGGATGGCAACTTTGGCCTCAGGGAGCTTGGCTTGAGGAACCTGACGGGTAAGTGAAACTTGGCAATGTGGTGCATTAGTTGCAAGGAAAAAAAAAAAGAGTTTGTTGAGTATTTCCCCAGTGTTCTCAGTCACTTGCATCCTGCAGGAGACTGAGGTACCACCGGAGCCTGGCAGCTGTGTGTTCTCTGAGGGGTTTGTTGGTGCATCATTTTTTTGGTTCACAAAAGTACTTCTCTCCATAATGATCAAAGGCTGCCCATGAGAGTCATGGCAAGAGCATATTTGAAGCAAAAACAGTTGTTGAAAGAGTATGTGAACTTTGTGTCTCGATACCACGAGCATGTTGGTTTCCTTGTGATCCTTCATTATTGCACACCTGTTCCTTCAGGTGCTGGGTATTTTCTGCCAAGTTACCTTAGCTTTAGCATCCCCTGTGCCTCTGAATCTTTGGTTTATTTAATTTTAGAACTCCCTTTTCTAAGCAAAAATAGTGCATTACATATAGTGAGAAAAAGTGCTTCTTTTTTTGAGCCAAAAATGTAAGCAAAGTCCACAGCTTCATGTTTACCTGTAAATTCAGGGCTGGATCATGCTATGGGATAGATCAACAATTCATTTCCTCCATCTGAAGATCCAGAGTCAGTGGTTTGGGAGATTAAAACTTGCTAAATATCAATGGGCTGTAATTTAATAAAGAGCAGGCAGTGGATCTTCTTAGGGAGTTCACTGGAAGTATTTTATTTATACCTGGTTCCTCATCAACTATGGTAATTTCTACCCTAAACTGGTAATTTGGATGTGCCCTTGTATCTGGTAGTGGCTGAAAGGTGACTGAAGATCACTGACCTGAGCTGGCTCTACAGATTGAACCTCAGTATGGAGAGGTGGGAGCCTTCTGAACTATATTTAGACACCCTTCCCTCTGCTTTTTTTGTCTATTAGTATTCAGAGTAGCACAAGTGCTTACAGTTCCCTCTTCAGCCTCACCTGGCTGTACAGCAAGGCTTTCAAAAACAGGAGGGTAAAGAAAGCCTGAAATATTTTACAAAATAAACCAATTTTGAATGACTCTGATTAGGCTCTTTCCTCTGGTCATATTCTTGACAATTTTCTTTACTGAGACCATCATGCCAATATCAGAGTACTTCCCAAATGTCCCTAAATCCCTGCCATCAAATACTCTTCACTCTGTCACTGTCATAATCCAATTTCTTCCTCCTCTGTTCCCATATTTCTTTCCACATTTCTGGCATAGGGAGTTCATTGTGACTGTCTATGCCTTCACACCATATAGAGCCACAGCATTGGGTGATAACAGCATTATCTCTTTCTTTGTGCATGTTTTCTGGTCTTTGAGTCTCAAAATACCTTGTAAAGATACTTGGCTGGGTGAAACTGAGACAGAGAGGTGAGGTCAAGGCCAGAGGATGATGGAAGTCTTTCCTCTTGGTCTGAGGTTGTTCTGCCAGGTGAGAGTTGTACTCTTAGGGCTCATTTAGCTATGGCTTTGCTGCTCACTAGGGTAAAAAAAAACTTACCTTGTGGACTTCTGCTCAAATTTTCTTCATGAACCAGCTTCTCTGTGCCAATTGGCAGTTCCTCAGACTGCAGAGATGCCCTCTGGGAGCTGCTGTGACATGACACACACAGCACCAGCCCAGCAAGTGGTTTCATTTTCATTTGAAATGTCTTAAGAAAAGCAGCCTGTGAATCTCTCCCAACATGAGATCATCACATCCACTTCTTCTGATTTAGGTGTTTACAAAGGCCTCTGATGGATTATTGGACTTGAAATGAATTGTTGTCTTCTAGAAGAAAAGTGCCCTAATAACACCAGCTTGTCTCCATGGAGCACTTAAAATAGCTTCTGTGTGCTGAATGTGAGCCAGTGTGTGCTTGAAAACACTCTTAATGTTTTCTAGACAACATGCCAGTGCCTCATGAGTCTCTCCAGCAGCTGTTCTCTGACCATTTTGTGCACTGGTTGAGATGCACGGGGCTATTTTAACCCACACCCCCCTCTTGCTGTGCACGCTCTTCCCGCAGCGTGTTCATACTTCATTAATTTTCCTGACACATCCTTAGCACTAGTAGCTGCATGAAAATAACTGGTGGATGTGGGAGTGGGTGATGTTGCAAGGCTGTGATGGATCAGCTGTATCTGAGCCTAGTTTTTAGTTTTAGCCCAGAAACCATGGGTGAGCTGCTAAAGCAGCCCCCGAGAGCTCGCATTCTTCAAGTCCACTGCAGATTTGAAGAGACTGGCTTTGAATCGTGCAGCTCTTCCACTTGACTAAAATATAACATGGTTCTTGTCCTGCATGTGAAGAATTGTCATTCCAGGCTCATGCCTTGTTCACAGGAGTTTGGGAAATTCTGTTTTTTATTCGTGCAGTGCTGGATGATAGGCTCCTGAGGGTATTTCTGCCTAGTGCTGTACAGTGTACAAACACGAGCCCTACTCCCTGTGTTAAATAAATGAGGAGGCTGCTCTCACCTGCAGATTCTCCTCAGACACAGGGTTTCAGTCTCCTGTGCTGTACCACTGCAGTATTTTCTATGTGTTGTTAACAGCTGTGTTTTTATTGCCAGATATGTCTATCAAGTTTTCATATTTAAATGTAACTTTAAATGCTTGAATTTCCTCCCTTGCACTATAAAAAAAATGACAGCTGTGAAGGCAGTTAGTTTTATCTTACAAAGAAAACATGATCCAGTTCTCACTCATGATGCCTGTCAAACCACAAGGGAGTTTTGTTTGTATAGCTCAGCCCAGGACTATGTCCTAAAAATGCATGTGACACTTGCAAAAAATCTTAGCTATAAAAATCCTGTTCTCTCCTGTTGTAAAAACTTAGTCAATGGTTCCACAAACATATCAAAACGGAGCTGACACTGAACTAATGAAGTGGCTGCTGCCATCTCAGCTGGACTCATCTCAGTGTGCACATCCAGCTGCCAAGAAGCCACACCGTGAAAAGGAGGGTTTGACATCCTGGATGTAAAAGCAGGGTTTGACATGCTGGCTGTATTCTTCAGGCTGAGACGAGCAGAGTGAGTGGTGCTGAGGGACAAGGTGTGCCAGCTCCTCCCAGTCATTGCCCGGAGCACTGCACATCACCAGTGAAAGGGAACCATCGGTGCTCACACTGGGAGAACTCCAAACACACGGGGAGCCTGATGGCCGCATCTATTGCAGCATTTATCTGCAGAGAGGGGAAAGTGGGGTGACACCCAGGTGCCAGAACCAGTTAGGAACTATCCCATATTTTCCTCTGTGAAGATGCATAAGAGAGATATACAGCAAATTATGTGTCTTTGAGCAGTGATAACCTCATCTTCCCTACTGGCCTCGGGGACAGCAGGTTCCATGCATCCTTTGAATTCTTTGAATATATTAGAATGAAGTGGACTTAGCAGTGATAAGTGCAGTAACATAAAAAAGAAACAAACCCACAGCTAAATATTTAGGGGTTTTCTTCGTTTGTTTTTCAGGAATGAGATTAATAAATTAAGAGATGATAAAGTCAGATAACTGAGGTACAAGTGAGAAATGGTATTGCAGCTTAAACTGCTTGATCAGTGATAGCCAAACAAAGGAAATCTAATTCGATGAGCAGGAGAATCATAAAGAAAGGAACATTTTCACAGGTGTAGAAAGCAAATATTGTAAAATTGTAAATTTCTCCTTCAACAGATTTTTGTAATTGATTTTATATACCTTAATTTCTGATTAAATTTGGGGGTTATTTTTCTGCAGAGCAAAATTTTAATGTTTGAGAGTTATTTCTATAATGTTTTCAGTATTTTTTCCCCCCCAAAAAAGAAACTGAAAATTCTATAGTGTACTTTGGAGTGGCATCACTCCTTAAAGAGGTTGCTTTTCGAGCAGTTTTTTGTCTTTTTTCCTTAACAAGATCATTTACTTTAATTATATTGCAGTTGGAGGGAAGGACATGAGAGGAGTCAAGTTTGTCCACTGTGCCTTTTTTGGACCTAAAATTCTTTTGGAAATCGTGCTTGGATGTCTGCACAGCACCCGAGTGATGGCACACCAGGCATTTTTGCAGCAGGAATTAAGGCCACCCACTTTTTCTTACCTTGACCACAAAACCTGTGCCAGCAAGGCACAGGGAAGACATGAAGGAGTTCCTGGTGTCCAGGGGTGCCTGTGTGTGACAGGCTGCAGCAAGGGAAAATTAGGTTGGATATTAGGGAAAAGTTTTTCACAGCAAGAGTGATCAAGTACTGGAATGCTTTGTCTGGGGAGGTGGTGGAGTCACCATCCCTGCATGTGTTTAAAAAAAGACTGGATGTGGCACTCAGTGCCATGGTCTAGTTGAGGTGTTAGGGTGTGGGACACATGTTGAGAAAGTAAGAAAATTACAGCCTGAAAAATATTCCAGGCTGGAGCTTTTCAGCTCTGTTCCCAGCCGATAAGCTGGTCCAGCTCAAGGCTGGGGAGAATTTCTCCCAGGGTGATAATTTGGTCAAAATAAAAAGGAATTAATAACACAGATAGAACACCTGTTGTGGTGTGTGACCAGGCCCTGGGAATGGGGTGTCTTCTCTCTGAACCAATCACCTTTTCTCTACTCTTGGAATTGCGAGTCATGCTATAAAACCAAGTGTGTTTGTGAATAAACTTGTCTCTTTCTTCTTGTCATGACAGATGACCATGTAGCTGTGCATCTTATTTCTGCTGCACTTAAAGGGTTAAAACCCCTTTCCACGGCTACACTAGGGCATGGGTTGGACTCGATGATCTTGGAGATCTCTTCCAATCTTGTGTGATTCTGTGAATTCTGTGAATTGCCACATTCCTTCATGAGCCGGGAAGGAAGCGATGTGTAGCTTGCCTCAGGCTGGCTGTGCAACAGGTGGGCCAGGTATGGCATCTGTAACCTCGGAGAGGGGTTGCTAGGATACACGGAGGCGTGAGGAATTGGTTTCTAAATCCCTTCTGCCCCTCTGCGTGCGGGGCTGCTGCAGGAGCTCTGTGTAGGAGAAGCTGCAGTGGCTCCGGGACCGCCCAGGTGTGCTCCT